GGGTTCGCCTCTCAGCACAGATCCGCCTCACACAGGCACACACAGCCCCACAGGCCTCAAATTCCTCTACATCTGAAAAAGACAAGGGGAAAAAAAGGCCAAGAGACAAGAGGAGATAAAAATAGCTGAAAACAAGCTCTTTGGATCAGAAAGTTCCCTTCTTAGTGAGTCGCCAGTTTTCCAGACTGAGCGCACGCACACACACGCACGCACACACACTCCCCATAAACACAAACATGCAATTGTGCCTCCAAGTCGCGCGAATCCCCACACAGACCCTCGGTCTCATGCTCTGTCCTCAGGGGTGAAATTGTCCTCCAGGGCGTTCTGCGGGCCTTTGGGGAGCGGTCTCATCAGGGGCTCAGCGGGCACGGGCCCCACCCCTGTCCCTGCAGACATCTGGTCACCTGGCCCCCCTGCCCAGCATCTCTGACTCCCCTGTGCTTCCTGGGCCCCCCTTGGAGCTCACACGGAGGGGCGGTCTCTCAGGCCCGCTGCTCCCCTCAGGAGGCCAGAGGCCCGAGGTCAGACAGCCCCCTGCCCAGGCTCTCCAGACCCACCACACCATGTGGGGGAGAGGAGGCAGTCTGGACGCCGTGCAGGATTCATGACCGCGTTCCGTCAGTTGCATTAGCGGCTGTGCGGGAGGACGTGCGTGCTCTGGCCTTAGACGAGGCAAGGCCGACAGAGGCGCCCATAGTGGAGACAGCACGGGGCCCCTCCCTTCCCCACCCTCTTGCTGACACCAGGGCTTTCTCTGCACAGCTACCCACTGTCTTCAGCGCTGCAGGTCGGCCCCGCCCCCCAGGCTCTCCAGACTCCTCCAGTGTAGACAGAGCACCGGGAGGCAGCCGTCTTCCAGGCCCCATGGCCTCTCTCCTTCTCTCCCTCCTTCCTTCTCCCCCTCCTCTCCTTCCTCCCTCCCCCTCCTCCTTCCCTCCTCCTCCCCCCCCTTCTTTCTCTCCCTCCCTTTATGTCCATCCTCTCTCCACCTCCACTGGGGTCTGTGAAACCCAAGTCTGTTTCATTCCAAACATCCAAGTAACTCAGGTTCTGAGGGGCCCTCCCACCTGTTCCAGGGGCATGGCCCCCTGTTCCTCTGAGCTCGGGGTCCCTAGAGCCTACGGGCCATCATGTCCCTGCACCTTTTCAGGAAACCGAGCAGTGGTGGGGCTCCAGTGGGAATGGGGCAGCCAGAGGGGACTCACCTAACGCTGCCAAGCAGACCTGGGCCAGTGGCTCAGGGCCTGGGCCTCGGGACACTCAAGTGTCCAGGACTATGCCATCTCCCCTGGGGCCCCTCTGGGACCCTGTGTCCTCTTCCTCAGCCCTTTGTGCCTGTGCGGCCGAGGCCTCACGGGGCCTGGGGTGGGCTCTGCATTTGGGCTGCGGCCTGGGGTCCGGGCCCACCTTCCGTGGGTTTGGTGAGTTCCCGCCGCTGGGCCTTTGTCTCTTCAACTGCTGAAGCGAATGATCCTCTCACCACCTACATCCCAGGGCATGTCTGTGTGCCTCAAACGGTGGAGCAGCCACCTGCATGCCAGCCCACGGCCCAGCTTTCCAGTGCCTCCTTCCCCTCAGAAGTGCAGCGGGAGGAGCCAACCCCTTCCCCGGGGGACTTCCTGGAGCCGGGGCCAAGCAGCAGGACCGTGTCTCCGGCCTCCCCCGGGCTGTGCCCACGAGGCCAGTGTTGAGTCTTGCCGACCTCTGTCCCTCCTGCCCGAGTCCCTGCGCAGCTCCGGCCCAGCCTGTGCTGGACGCGGGCAGAGAGGAAGCTATTTTTAGCTGCAGACAGAAGCAGCAGCTGTACCGTCAGGCTCCAAAGGAGGGTCCAGCCTGAGGGAGGGGAGGAAGGGGGAGCTTGGCTCCTGTCCCCCTCCTCAGAAGGCGCCCCACTCCAGGGAGAGCTGCCCTCCTGGTGCCCCCCCCCGGCCGTATTATTCAGCAGGGGTGTGTGTGTGTGGGGGGGGTTCTTAGCAGCTGAGCTGCAGAGGAGGCAAAGTGGAACATGGAAGGAGGGTCAGGCCTGAGGTGGAGGGCCCGGGTCGGGAGTTAGAGCTGGTGTCCTGAGGCTGGGTCCATGCTGGTTCTCATCAGATTCAGAAATCTTCTCTCTCAACAGCCGAGAACTCGGACTCCAAGGTCCGGGGGCCCAGCCGCCCCTGCTCCCAGCCGCGCCCCCTTTCCATCTGCAAGCCCCCCAGGGTCTTGGGCAGTGGCAGGGGCAGGGGTGCGGGATGCCGCACAAAATGGGTCAGGAACTCTGGATTTACAGTTTGGATGGACGGCCGTGGTCTCCCCAGGGAGAGCAGACTCTCACAGCAGACTAAGGGTCCTGGGAACCGGCATCAAACCATAAACTAGCTCTCTCCTCTCTTGTATCAGGGCCTCCTGTACTGTAGCTCTTGTCATGGTTGCCCTCCGGGCAGGGTGGGCACGGGCAGAGAACTGCCCAGACCAATAAATTACTCACACTGTCATTTGCCCTGGGCTGCCCCAGGCCCTCAGGATCCCTTAGAGCGCACAAGGGGCCAGAAACGTAGCCTTGGGGAGCTTACATTCTGGAGCTTAGACGCTCTGTCCTATTGAAAAATACACACTCATCACCCAGGGGACAGCAGCCCGACCCCCTGACGTCTGTAAACGCTGCAAAGGGCGCAGCAGCCGGCTTCTCAGGAGCCTGACTCCTGACGTTTCCGGGCAAGGATCCTCAACCTTTCACGTCACGCACCTCTTTGTAGATGGATTAAAGCTGTGAACTTCCCTCTGGAAGAAAGGCCAGAGCACAGACGCTCAAGAGTCTGCCTACGATCTGAGGGCTTACGAACCGGGAAGTGACGTGAGACCGGGTGCTCAGAGCCTCCCTTTGAAGATTCGGAGGCAGCTGCTGGGCTGGCGGCGAGGACGACGCATTGTGCGTCTCCCAGCGAGGCTCGCAGCTGAATGTTAATCACAGCGTTCCGCCAGCGCGGATAGCGGAAGTGGGCCGCCGGGCGCAGGCTGTCCGGCCTTCGGAACAATCCCTAAATTCTACCGACCTAGAGGAAACACGTTTGCAAAAATCCTAGCGTGCTATAATCTTGGTGTAGCCATGAGTAGCTCTGGGGCCTGGAGGGGACAGTTCCTGGAATCACCCTGGCCTGGAGCCTCTGGCCCAGCCTCGCTTCAGCGGGGCTCAGGGGCTCAGGTCTGACAATGGGACTAGAGCCCCCAGGTGCCGGGTGGCAAGATCTGCTCAATCCAAGTCCTCCTTTGGAATCCATGCCGCCTTTTCCTCCCTCTCCGCAGGCCTCCTCGGCACTCCCGGCTGGCCGGAATTTAAATGTTGTTAGCTCTCATTGATGGGCCCAGGGCCTCTGCGGACTTGGGGGTGCAGTGGAGGTGCTGCAAAGCTGCGGGGGCCCAGGCGCACCTGTCTTTCTGTCCTGGGAGGAAGACCCCCTGAGGACCCCAGGAGAGGAGAACAGGGGGGCCCTGGTCCAGCATCTTAGTGGCAACGCGGGAAATGCCCTCGCCCGCGGGTGCTAGCCCCGGTCCACACTTGCTCACCGGTGCCCACACGCAGGTACATGCCTGCACACCCAACGCACCAGGCCATGTTCACGGGCCCCTGCACGAACCTGCCGGCAGAACGCCCTCCTCGCCGTGACCTAGCAGATGCACACAGTCCCTGCTCACCTGTCCGCAGGTGCTTCTCCCTGTCCTGCGTCTGCTTGGCGTGTAGGCCGTGTGCACGCTGTGCGGTGACCCCCAGCTCACGCGTACACTGCTCCTAACTCACCTGGGCCCCATGCAGGGCTACAACCCACCTGCCACAAATTGCCCCACCCTCCTCCCTCCACTCCTTCTTGGAGCAGCCATCCTGAAGAGGGACTGTGTCCTCCTGCCAGCTGGCCTCTTCCCTAGGC